AAATAAATTTTGACCAATCAAATATAAATGATTTTCTCCATATACCAAACACAGCCCATTATTGATTTTGATGATGGGATAAACTTGCAGAGAATAAAAGTAAAGTGAGTCACCTCTTAGGGCTTGATGGAGCTAATGAAAGGCTGCATCTATTCGAAGCAGAGTTACTTGAAGAACAATCATTTGATGCCGCCATTGATGGCTGTGAAGGTGTTTTTCATACAGCATCACCTCTTTCTTTCACTGCTAAATCCAAGGTAAGCATGTTACTAAAAAAATTTCCCATGTATAACCGATCCAAATTTCCAGATAAATCAATCAAAAAAACTCTTTAATTTGATCTATTAGGAGGAACTTGTGGAGCCTGCTGTGGAAGGAACCCTAAATGTCCTTCGATCATGTGCCAAATCACCATCTGTGAGAAGAGTTGTGATAACTTCTTCTACGGCTTCTATGATATGTAATCAAAATCGATATATCCCTGGAGCTGTAGCTGATGAGACTTGGTATTCAGATCCAGAATTTTGCGAGAAAAGAAAGGTTTAATAATTACTTAACTTCAATTTCTGCTGCTACTTTCCGATTTGATTAATGCTACATTGTGTTGCACTATCAAAGCTTAACATCACTAGCTACAACCAACCTATTTCCTAATATCTAGACTGAAAGATTAAAAAACACACCTAAAGTATTCGATTTTTTGAGTTTTCTATCTAAACTATCCCCAAATGTTCATCGAAACACACCTCAACCATAAGTTTTTCACTTTTTCTACTTGAATAATGGTGATGGTGATATTTCAAGTAGAAAAAATGAACATCCGATAGTCTAGGTGTGATTAGATAAACATCTGGTGATACTTCAGTTTAGAAACTCACACACCTGATAGTTTAGGTACTTCAGATGTATTTGACTCTTAACTCTTCTATCTATAATAGTATAGTTATTTTTTAGTTAAAACATTATCTCCATCGATTATTGATGTGCAAGAAGTTGCAAGTAGAGTTTGACATCCCAAACTTTGTACCTGATCATTGAGAAGAGACTACTAAAGTTGGTCCTAACCAAAAAGAAAAATGTACAAAAAGTTATGTAATTCTTTAAGATGGGGTGGATTAGTTATCGCACCACATATATGAGATAACTTATCCCATCATTATAGTACAAGCAGTGAAATAAATGATCATGGGACTGACTAATACCCCCTAAACCAAACACTAGATAAAATAATCTTGCATTTTATCCCGAGATTGTTGTCCCTTATCCTTCATACCAAACTGCCCTTAATAGTATAGCTGATTTTCAGGGATTTGTAATTCTAGTTAAGCTCGTTCCTCACATGTATTTATATAGTCAATTTATTGAGTAATGACAGCCTTTTATCATTTTTGAGATGCTAAGTAAGTGTCCCTTACATTTATCCCTTAGTAATTTCTTGGTCTGATTATATACTTCATTTAGAAGAAGTATTTGAGAAAGTAATGTAGAATATATCAGCTAGCATTGATCTCTTCACTATTGGCTTATTGCCGGTGTTTTAAATTTGAATTTCTCAGCAATGGTACAATCTGTCCAAGACCCTGGCTGAAGAAGCTGCTTGGGAATTTGCAAAACAGAATGGGATTGACTTGATTACCCTTCATCCAGTTCTAGTCATTGGTCCATTTCTGCAGCCTTCACTCAATTTCTCTTCTGAGGCTATGCTCAACTTCATAACACAAGGTATGGATCTCTGCTTCTGATTGTGGGCATTATATATTAAATCGGGTTTAATGTATTCGTTCAAATCTTCAATATGATTCCACAAGATCTTGTTTCGTTCAAGTAACGGATTCTAGCCAACTGAAAGTATCTATTAAAGTCATCTAGATCTGTAGTACAGTTTTTAACAATTTTCTTTCTCAAGGCCTTCAAATTAAAGAGTATAATAAGAAGACAGAGATTTTGGCAAATGATCTGAAATGTCTGTAGAAGCAAGATTTGCAGAAATCCTACGTATTTACAGTCTATTGGGAGAGTCTTTCCTTTGTACTTGCTCAGCTTTGACACATTGTGTTTCATCTGATGTAGGAAAAGAAGCATGGTCTGATGGAGTATATAAATTCGTTGATGTTAGGGATGTTGCTAATGCACATATACTAGCATTTGAGGTTCCTTCAGCAAATGGAAGATATAGTTTAGTTGGGGCAAACGGATACTCTTCTTCACTTTTGAAGATTCTACAAAAGTTTTACCCTTCCATCACTATCCCTGGGAAGTAAGTATAAATTGCCAATGTTATACATGTGCTTATTCTTGGACACCTCATCATGTGTAGAGTTGAATCATGCCAACAATTAATTAACTAATATGATGATTCGAAATCTAAAGGGGAACAACAAAGGCAATAGAAATTTAACAAGCTAAGTTTACGATTACTAGCTAATTGCTCTTTGTTTGAATTTAGAAAAGCAGAAATGCTACATGGTTTTATAACCCTCCTTCACAATCCTAAGAGGAAGTAGGATAGTTAATTTGCACATTAGGAGTATGCAACAAGATAGAATTTCAGCCATAATTAATAATTAATAGTAGTAAATTTTAATCCCTTAAGATTCATGATGATGTAGTAATTTTAGTAATATGTCCTGGATGGCACTATATGCAAAAACAAGATTGGCGGTATAACATTCCAGCGTATTCATTTGAACTAATTTACCATGCATGATATCGTTGTGTTTCCATGTTACATGATTTTGATGGTGAATTCAGCATTGATCTTCACTCACAAAATTCTTATATTTGGATGTAGCTTTGAAGAAAATGGATTGCCCCTTACCCCGACCTTCCAAATATCGGGGGAAAGAGCAAAAACTATAGGCGTCAAATTCACACGTCTTGAATTGAGTGTGAAGGACACTGTTGAAAGCTTGATCCACAAGAACTTCCTCAAAATCTTACCCCAAAACTAGTCCTTGCTGATTTTGGATTTGTTCTTCTTGTACTAGTGTTAAGGCTTAAAGAAGAATCTTTTATCCTCAATAAAGTGTGTCAAGTACAAAAACTCTATGTGATGGAACAGCACGATGATTTATTCCTGTATTAAAGACGATGATTATCACCTAGTGAAAATCCCTATCTACTTATGCGCCATTTTACGAAATACTATCGTTTGGTAGAGTGCATAAAAATAATACTTAATAAAGTGTATTAGTAATGCATGTATTAATTATTATGCATAGATTATTTCTTATGCATTGTTTGGTTTGATGTATTAAAAATAGTATGCATTGTATAAAAATATTTATTTACAAAAGTATCCTTCATAATTATGGTGGAAAAAATGAGAGGTAATTGAATCTTTATTAATGCATGTATTAAATCTTTTGCATTATTAATACCTAGAAATCTATGGTATTAATAATACACAGCATGACAAAATGCACCATACAAGGGATTACTAATACATATAATTAAGGCTTATGTCATCTACAACCACTTAAAGTTATCCTCATATTTCATTTGGACACCTCAATTAAGGCTAATACCTATTGAACACCTCTACTACCTCGAATTGACATCTATTTGACATCTTTTTGACAATCAGCCAAAAATATTAAGTGTGTGAGATACACTTGTGATGACATGGCACAATGACAAATTAAATTATGACATGTGTCATTAGATCCAAAAATTATTTTAAAATATATTTTAAATAAAAAAATATTTTGTACCCCAAACAATCCACCCACCCACACCAAATCTTTCCCATGCTACCCATTGGATTTTAGTCCCTCGACATCTTCTTACTTCTTTTTTTCGTCGTCTTCTTCTTTATCATAAATTAACAATGGTAGATTTTTTAGATTCAAAATTAAAAAAAAAAAGACTTTGATAATTACATTGTTACCCCACCCACCCAAATTCTTCCCCTGCTACCCATCGAAACAACCATTTCTTCTTTTTTTCTTCTTCATAATAAATCAACAATGGCGAATTTAGATTCAATGGTGATAGAGGAGGTAAAGTGACTATAGAAATAAGAAAAAGAAAATGGGTATAGCAATGGTAGAGACATATTAGTGATGTGGTGAAGGAAATGGTGGCGAAGAGACAAGGAAGAAGAACATTAATATGGCAAAGAGTTAAATTGTAAATTAATAAACTTACTTACTTTCATAAATCAACAATATGACAAGATTCAATTCTAGATTTGAAAAAATAAAAATAACCAAGTGGAGGCGATAATGGTAGAGGCAGTAGACGGTGATGGTTGCTCAAAAGAAGAGAAAAAAATAGACGCGATGATGATAATACTAACAGATCTGAAAATATAAGATGATAATAATGAGAAATTAAAAGAACAAAAGAAAAATGAGGAGGAAGAAGAGAGGTGTATATGGCTCCATGGCAGATGCTACAATGGAGAAGAAATAATTTTTTTAATTTAAAAAATGTTAAATTTGATGCTTTCACGCGCTTCTTGTTAGTGAATGACACCCAAAATGTCATATAATCAAAAAGTGTTCAAGTGGTATCAATTCAAGATAGTAGAGGTGTTCAATAGGTACTAGCCTTAGTTGAGGTGCTTAAGTGAATTATGCAGACAACTTTAAAGAGCCGTTGATGACTTAAGCCTATAATTAATGCATGCATTATTTTTGCTAATACACTCTACCAAACGACCCGACAGTGTCCTAAAAGGATAGATATGTTCTTTCATATGTTTGAAACTCGTCAAGTATTTTAAATAAAACATAATACTAACATTTTCCTTTAAGTATGCTAAAGAAATGTTCACACTCATAACAAGAAGTTTTAGATGGAAAAGGGTAATTATACCCTCAACTTGGTAATTTAGAGCACCTATACCCCTCAATTTTTGTTTGAAGGAATGATAACACATTAATAATACATCCAGCAGATCTACAAATAAAAAATACGACAGGTTGCTGATTTGTTAGTAATTCAATCGTGTTAAGCAAAACAAAAGGTCCAAATTTGTTAAATCTATTGGCAACTCGTTCAAAACCTCTTCAGAAGTAAGCCAGCAATATTGTTAAAGAACAATAAAGCTCAAGACACGATCTCTATTTTTTCCACAGCAAAATTAAAAAAAATTGATAAGAAAATCTAAGAGCACATATGGCATATGTTAACCCTTGTACCACAAGGCAAAATACCAACCAGACACATGACATTCACAGAGTTGAGAGCATTTTCCTCAAGTTGATTAAACATGTCAAACTTTACATTACAAGCCAACAATCAATCTTTTATTTAAAACATGGCAGCTGAGATACGTCCACCAGTGTATTTTCCATAAACCTAAAATAAGACACGGAAACAACAGAAATTCAATGGCCGCCAAAAATAATACTAGATAGATATGCTTAAAGTAATCAATTCTCTAGTAATTAATATCTACTCTTAAAGGTAGACAACCAAATCCAAACATTATTTTCCAAACCAACCCAAACACACGATGCTATCCACAAACCGAACTTAAGGACTTCCAAAACCAAATAAGAGTATGCCTAATCAAACAAAGTCATGAAACATACCCAAAGCGTAGAAGAACATAATAGCTAAAAAGTGTAACATGATACTATGCAAATAATTTTTATACCATCCAATTTCTTAGTTGAAGTTCCAGGTCAAATATGCAGAATGAAGATTCAAATCCAGTAAGACATAACTAAGCTACCACCACCACAGTACCCAGCAGCCTAATTCCACTAGGATGATAAAGACAATCCAGAAGTACCTAAACACATTCCTAATCAGTACAGGGAAAATTCTATACAAACTAATACCACACAGTTGCACACAGAAACCAACCCCCTTAAGATGGCTTGCACAATAGTTCTTAGTTGTCCAGGCATGCTCAAATACCAATTAATTGACTACTAAGTGATTAACAGATTGAACTGGAGCTACAGTTAATACATTCACTTCATTGTAATTACACTTACCAACTCCAACAAAGATTAGTACCAAAATAATGCCAGTTCCATCTCTTTGCAGCTTACATTATGTCACCAGATATTATAAAGCAAAAAAGGAACCCAAACACAACAAACTTACGGACCCATTTGGTACCCCATTATTTTACCCAATTTACCCAGTCCCCTTAATTGCACAAGAATTTCAACTTATCAAGCTAATAGCAAATTGCTAGCTCGGTAAAAGTCACAATGACATAATATTTTCATAATGACTTGTTCAACTGGAAACTAAAAGAATGATCCAAACCAAACAGGCCCTAAATTTGATGAGATTCAACACTAACCTCTTATCAACTGACAAAAAATACATCAATTTTCAACATCCAATTGAAAAAATACCATACACAAAAGTTTCCTAATCCAATTCCCCCCCAAATCATGCGAGATCCAGCAAGTAAACTCAAATTACCATGCACTTCAAGGTTGCGTTTGAAACAGATACTTGAAAACCGATCTTCATGAATTGACCACGTTGGACCTCATCCCCCTTTATCTCATCTATATTACCATATTTTAAATCCAATTTTTTTGCTTGATAGTTGGCTAACCTTATGGACGGACAGGTCCAATGTCTTTTCCCCTTTCCCCTGTTTGATCCATATGGCTTGAAAGTACTTACTCAAAAATGAAGTTCAGTAGCAAACAGATTTAATCAATTCTCTTGTAATTAATGTTACTCTTAAAAGGCAGACAACCAAACCCAAACATTATTTTCCAAACCAACCCACACACACGATGCTATCCACAAACCAAACTTAAAGACATCCAAAAACAAATAAGAGGTAGGCTTTTAATCAAACAAAAAGTCGTGAGACATACCAAAGCGTAGAAGAACATAATAGCTAAAAAGTGTAACATGTACTATGCAAATAACTTTTATACCATCCAATTTATTAGTTGAAGCTCCAGCTCAAATATGAAGAATAAACATACAATTCCAGTTAGATATAGATAACTAAGCAACCACCTTCCAGTACCCAGCAGCCCAATATCACTATGATAAACACAATCCATTAGTATCTAAACACATTTCTAATCTGTAGAGGGATAATTCTACACAAACTAATACCACACCGCTGCACACTGAAACAAACTCCCTCAAGATGGCATGCACAATAATTCTTAGTTGCCTAGGCATATGCTCAAATACCAATTAATTGACTTCTAAGCATGCATGATTAACAACTTCTTAGTTGCCTAGGCATGCTCAAATACCAATTAATTGACTTCAAGGCATATGCATGATTAACAACTTGAACTGGAGCTACAGGTAAAACACTCGCTTCATTGTAATTACACCTACCAACTCCAACAATGATTTGTACCAAAATAATTCTCAGTTCCATCTCTTTGCAGCTTACATTTTGTCACCGGATATTATAAAGCCAAATAGAGAACCACACAAACCACATTATTTTCCACATAGAATCATTGCCTCATCTTCCGCATAGAATGTCTCACACAGAGCAGCAGGGAATATCCCCTAGCTTCAATCTAGGTCCACACATCCTATTCAAGGTTCTTTGCTCTAAAAGACAAATGTTTATGTGTGTCGACACTTATTGTGTGGCTTATCTTTGGCTTAAAAGAACGCAACAGAAACTCATATCTATGGCCCAATTACAACAAATTTTGGTGAAACTTAAAGAGTTCAGATCAACCAGAGTTCTTACAGATCAAGAGTGGCAAATTTTGTTCTAAGAATGTTGATGTTGAGCGTTGAGGAAGGTCAGAAAGGCAACACTTGCTAAAAACTTGAGGTAAGTTTAGGCTTACTCTCCTAAGAGGAAATTCCGTTAAGAGCCCACATGTTCCATGTGTTAGATAAATCCTAGACCATGTCTTCTTGTGCGCAAGTATTCCATTCACTCTATTCTTTCGGTACAAATTTACATGAATTGTGACTGTATTACACGTTTATGTGTGTTGCCACTTATTGTGTCTTTATATCACATTCAATTTCAGCATTCTTCTGATGCATTCATGTGATCACATCCAATGGAGAGAAGTGGCCAACCTCCCCCAGCATGAGTGCTAGAAATGCCTGGGTTAGCTACCCAGGCTCACAGGAGCCAAATTGCTTGTTGGGGAGATAGGCCGACCCTACCACGTGCGTGTTGCCAGATTTTCACATATGCAGGGCCATTATATGAAAATACTTTTGCCGACTTTTCAGCTTCAGTTTCAATTGTTAGTTTTTCACTCAGTTTTCAGCTTACAATTTCGGTTACCAACTTATGTCAGTTTTCAGACTTTATATGATTTCCATGCTTGCTTTTGAAACATATTTCCTTGTTTATTATATTTTTATCCCAAAGTAGTCTAACTCCACCATATGGGAGGTAGCCTACGAGTCTTGTGAAGTATCCTACAGAGGTCCTTAGCCTGTTTGGGCCTACCACGTCGTGTGGCAGGATTTGAGTGCACAGGTGATGAAGCATGTGGCTAGGGGCAGACATTTCTAGATTCAATGACAGACTCCATTGACTTCATCCAAGTGGTGGCGATTCTATTCAGATTTTTCTTATCTCAGATAGTATTATTATTCTCGGGGAATGCCTCATAGATTTATGTATCCAGACATCAGCTAAGAGGCTCATGACTTGTTAGTGGGTATTAACTTTCAATTATTTAGTGTTGATTTACTATTCACCTTTCAGATTCCTGAATTTGAAAACTTCATTAGAAGTTACTAAAATGTTACGTTTTGTCAGACCTTCATTCAGCTAGTTCAGGGTTGACTCGATGGGTGACTCGATGGGTAAGGGTTGTCATTCATGTCCTACCCCAGTGATTAAAAGTTAGTAATAGAAGATCACACCATAAGTTTTGAGGATAAACAAGGAACAAGAAGTTAAAGGTATACGAATTAGTCGAGTTGGACCTAGCACCTTTTTTTTGTCACACAATCATGCTTTACTTTTGCCATGCTTTCTATAGTATCTACTTTGATACGTTTTTCCTTGAGCCGATGGTCTATCTGAAACAGCCTCTCTACCTACCAAAGTAAGGGTAAGGTGGTCACACACTATACCTTCCCCAAACCCACTTGTGGGATTTACACTGGTCATGCTGTTGTAACTTGCATCACCCTAAATAATTTTTGTTAAGTCCAGTCCAACAATTCCAATTGACACCTCAACAAACACCAAGACAGCAACAATATTTACAAATTGCCTACCCCTCCCCCCCACCTCTCCACCCCACCACGCCCCTTCTGTTATTCAGTGGTCTTTTGCCACCACCCAATGCCACATTCTTCAAGACAGCGGCAAGTTTCTGTACATGTGTTTTTATGATTAGTAACTCACTGACGAGGCAGATCCCAGAACTTGAGACCCATACAACACAAAGGTCAATGGTGTAATTAAGTAGTCGACGAAGTGGGACATAAACCATGTGAGAACAGAGTTCAAATCCCAGCAAAGACAAAAAGCTACTTGCTGTCTTTCAATGTGACTAAAACCTTGTGTGAGAAGTCATCCAATATCTCTATTGGTAACAACAAGTACAGACTTAGCATAACAGTACACGTCTAACTACATCTGCCCCTGACCCACTCTCCACACAGGACAGATGTATAAACAACCAGTCTTAAAAACTGAACAAAGCTCAACAAATCCAAGCCAAGTTAAAACCTTTGAAGCAAACAAAAAAGCATTAATTACATCAGTAGCAACAAAAAAAGACAAAAAATTATTGTTACACATACAGCACAGAGCTTCTTAGTAGCCTTAATAGTGTTCCTTAAAGTCGATAGTTATTATAAAGTAGATACTACAGGACTTCCCCTATTATGGAATACATGAAGTCGCTATCAAGTTTTACATATGTGGCTTATGACACTTGCAGTGTGGACCTATTGACTATATCGGATTTTAGGTATGTATATAGTTGTCTTTGGGTGATAAGAAATATAACTAGATTCTTGATGTGTAGCTAATGTATGGCTGGACAGAGTTACATGGAAACTCCTTTATATATACTGAATGATAAGTTATGCCAGAAGCAAGAGCAAAACAAGGTGAAGATCGGTACCTGATTGAGACGCAAGAAGTCATAGGATAGCAACTTCTGCTTCTAACTCTATATTGCAGCGATTCAGACCACCAAACCGTCAAATTCAGCATAAACGTATAAGAAAAAGGCATAAGGTTTATAAAAACTTAATCACATAAATAAATTAACCATTCAATTCGAATCCAACTAAAGCATCAGAAACAAAATCAATCTCAAACTTTAAACTCTCAACACAACAACATCATAAAATAGACAACCATAAGATCAAATTCCAAAAATTCAAAACTAAAAGAAACCTAAAAAACTCTACGAATCCAAAAGTTACCTATAGTTTATTCTAGTTGTAGTAGAGCTCAAGGCCCATCCCATCATGAATTTCGTAGTCCTTTAGGGTAATATGATCTTTGTAAACATTGTACCACTTCTGAATACGAATCTTATCGGCGCGTGTACCAGTCTGTGCAGCAACCAGCTTCTTCAAATCACCAATGGTATCATCTTCGTTGCACTTCACCTTCACTTTCTTCCCCAATCGATCGTTCAACACCACCTCGATCATCTTTGAAACTTTCGATACCAGCAACGCAAACCCTAGAACTTTTTTGCCTCTTCTTTGTAGAGCGCGAAGCGTGTATATATAAACCGCGTTGGTCTTCGCCGCCCTTTCGCGAATAGACAGAAATACCCTTGAAAAACTTGGGGAAGAGGGGTATAAATTGGTATTCAACCTTACACGGGATACACACACAAAATTTACTTTTTTTGTGTCGTTATAAATGAAGGAATATTCAACTTTTTCTTTCTTGAATAAGGGGGTAATATGTCCTATTCAACTTTGAAAAGGAATAGATGCAAAGTAGAGATGGACCTGGTTTGTTCGGATTGAATTTTAGCGGGTTAATATAGTTTAAGTAAAGGAAAAATTTATATATAATTGTAATTCAAAAATATTATATATTACATAATCATACTTAGAAGTCATTTGGTATAAGGTATAAAATATAAAATTATTTTATCATCAGTTTGGTAGGAGCTGGAGGTATTAGGTAGTCAATGGATTGTTTATATCATTATTTATATCATAACAATGGATAAATTATCACATATACATGGTGAAATAATTTCTTCAAAAATAATTAATACTGGATAACTTGTTTCCAACCAAACCAACGTTTTTTATAACAATTTTATCTTGTTTCAAACTTTTGTGGAGAGAGTTCATGTAATTTTCTTTTTACAGAATAACTTGTGCAATTTAATTTTTAGGAGTCTTGCAATATACTCTTTTCATTGACTTTTATTTGTTCATTTTAAATTTTGTATCACAATTCATTTTAAAGTATTATATAACTTAATTGATATATAAATTTTCTTAAAAATTAAAATAAATAATAAATATTTAGATAAAATTTGAAAAAATATGTAAATTAAAGAAAACCATATTTTCTCCCTTGATATGCAAAAAGGTAACTTGCAAAAGACTAAAAAGTGATGTAACCAATTTTCGAATTCCTTTGTCAAAGATAAGTCAATGGAAATTATGAACACTAAAGCAAAATTATCACTTAGTGGCTCTAATTGTTTAATTAAGGTTCCCACATGAATAAACCTTAAACTTTGAAATCTCCAAATGTTCTTACCCAAAAACCTAACAAAGAAAAAGACACTATCCACCATTTGGTATTCAAATTAACATTTAGCAACCATTAGACTTGTTTCTGAAGCTCCAAATTCCAAGAAAATATGATAAATTTGAAGTCTTGGTTTCTTCTTGCAATTCTTTCTGTGTTCCTATGTACAACATTGGGATCAGATGCTGTAGAGTCTGTACTAAGGCGTTTGGATAGCAAACGGGCGCAATCTGTAGTGCAAGAATCTGCAGCTAAGGGTGTTTTACAGAGGTTACTTCCGGCCCATTCGCACAGTTTTGAATTTAAGATTGTCTCCAAGGTACTGTACTATTAGCTCCATTGTCTTTTTTCCAGTTTTGGGTCTCCTATCATTTAGTCTCTTTTTGTTTGGGAATTGGTAATTTATTGTTTCTGTAACTTAAAGTTTACTGCTTTTCTTTGTTCTAGTTGATAAATGCTCAAGATTGTTGAGATAGTGTCATTTTTGAAGAACTAGTTGACTTTTATGGTTATAAGCACAAATGGCATTAGTATATATCCTTTGTGTGAACTTTTCATAGGTTCAGTAATAAATTTTGGTAACCGTGGTGTCCAACTCTAATTCCACGGAATAACTCTCTCACTAACAACACGTATTAGGTAACTCTAGCTAGCAAGGCTAGGATAGATGAGAAGAAATCACCTAGTGTTTTTTGGCTTTGCTGGGGTTTGAGCCTGAGACATCATGGTACAAATTTTGGGAAGAAATTATTGTTGTAACACTTGTTAGTACCATCAGAATAGGTTAATGATGCTCACTTAATGATCATTGTGTATATAAGGATACAATATGTAGATGTTGAATAAGTGAAGGTAAGAGATTGTATTTAAGTGGCTTCCCGTAACTTTTTTCTCCCTAATGATGTTGAATAATCGTCTAGGCTGCTGTAAGCAAGGATCTTCTATATTTGTATATTTTTGTTACTGGCGCATTTTTTTGTTGCCGAACTGACTTGTTACTTGAGTATTTGAAATCTATACGTGACATTTCATATGTAAATGTAGGATCTTTGTGGTGGAAGAAGCTGCTTTCGTATAACAAATTACAAGAGTTCACGCAGAAATTCACCTGAAATTTTGTATGTTAAACAAGGATCTTATTATGTTACTTTTTGACGTGTATTTTCTGGGACTCGTTTTGCTTAAAATGTTGTGTTCTTTTTACTGTAGAAAAGTTTTGTTTTCCTTTAAGCACTCAATGGTGGTTTTATACTCCTAATTTACTTCTTCCAGATGCACATTGTTTAATAAGTTATTGTTTGGTTTAAGTCCTTGGTTCATAATATTGCCAACTTTGCCCCCATACCAGGTGCTGCTGATTTCTGCAAAGGGCAAGTTTCTTGCAAAATTCTTAAAGGATTAGTTTGTTGATATCAATTAGCACTCTCCGTAATCAGTACGAGCTTTTGAATATGATATATTTAAGTCTTAAGGGTTGACAGTTGATTGCCATAGCCTCTTTTGGCATCTGTAGTCCAGATTTCTTTTCAAAGTAGAAGACAATATAATATTTAGAATTTTGTTATCCAGTGCACAGATACAGTTGAAAGAGGCTTAAATTAGATTATGAATCTATTTTTGATTTTTTTTCTCTTAGAATTCAAGGAACTACAGCTGTTGAAATTGCATCGGGTCTACACTGGTATTTAAAGTATAAGTGTGGAGCTCATATTTCATGGGACAAGACAGGGGGTGTTCAGTTAGCTTCAGTTCCCAAGCCAGGTGCACTGCCTCTTGTAGAAGCCAGAGGAGTGACGATCCAACGGCCAGTACCATGGAACTACTATCAAAATGTTGTCACATCCAGCTGTAAGCATACAACTCTCTCTCTCTCTCTCCCCCTCCCCCAACAACCTTTTATGCATAAGTCGTTACGCATTATAAAGTGCCGTTACAGACTCACTATCACCGAAATTCTGGTAGTAAGTCTTCCCCCAATACATAAATGATGGAGAACATAATGCAGTATTTGGTTGATTTTTTAAAAGTGTGTGAGCATCTGTCTTCTGATATCCAAAGCCTTATGCCACTGCAATTTCCTCTCTGTGATACTGCAAGTGAAGTTGATGTCTTCTTTTGCCTTCTCTTTTCTAGTAATTTTTCCTTGCTCTCTGTAGAACTCATTACTTTTCTCATCTAATCATAGGATGATGAAACCAAATTCATGATGTTCCTCGATCCTCCCTGGCATACTTGTGCATAATTAAAGACACTTATTATTAGTATGTTAGCGATGTGGGTGTTTGAGGGCTTTCATTTGGATATCTTATGCAAAACCAAGGTTCTCTTAGAAAATTCTCTCCTGTGCCTGAATTTATTAGAAAATGATATCCTAACAGCAAAATAGAGAAGACAAACAGATCTATTTGACGGTTTGTCATCCCTATCTTTTCTAGGCTGTAACCAGTCTTACTCTGTTCATGGACAACTTATCAGGACGTCGTGTCAATCAAGAAAGCAAAGCATTTATAATGAGTGATGGAGCTGTAGATACCTCACGATTTCAGCCATTTTTGTGAGCTATTCCAGTAGGTTTAAGCTGTTTAGATTGAGTTGAGCTTGATTGAAAACCATTTTACTTGATAAGTCTACTCTGTTGAATGTTGACATTAGGAGAATCATGTTTTTTCTACTTATGGATGCTTACTGTTGGTATTTTTTGAGATGCCTCTGGTATAACAACTTAGCGTATTTCTACTTATTGGTATTTTTAAGATGCTGCAAGTGTAACAGCTTAGCATATTTGTACTTCTCCATGCAGATTCATATGTTTGGTGGGATTGGCAAAGATGGGAGAAAGAAATTGATTGGATGGCACTTCAAGGAATCAACTTACCTCTAGCATTTACGGGACAAGAAGCTATCTGGCAAAAAGTTTTCTTGGTATTTTTATAGCATTGGATTTTGTGGGTTCATACTAGCTGTTTGATACCTTTGAGCAAGGGCCTGAGTTGTGTGTATGTTAGGGGAATCAGTTGTGGTAGTACCATTGCTATAAACCTATCGTTGCTAACCCATGCGTTGTTTTCATATTGCTAATCTTAGCACTTCTGTCTTGAATCTACTTCTATGAAGTAGACCAGAACTTGGGCACTATTTCAGATGAAGTTTGTTAATTAAAATGTCTATTCTTTGTGCCGAAGTATTTAAAGTTTCAGCTGCCATCAGATCATCAACTTTCTCTTAGATTTACTGAAAATATATACCCTTCATTCTTTTAAGTCTTGACTATTTTATTTGGTGCTTAAAAGCAATGTGCCAATATCTGCTTAGTGTTACCTTCCTAGTTCTTTAATAGTCACTTTGTCCTTATCTTATGTTCCTACAGATATTATATCTGCTTGATGTTTACCTTGGGTTTCTTAATACTGTGTGTCTAAGAGACAAATACCACAGCATTTGATTAGTTATAGCTCATGACAGTCTGATATTGATTTATAACAAGCTTTGTTAGACGCTTATAAGCACTTTCTGTCTCATGTTTGTTGATGGTCAGGATTATAATATTACTACCCAAGAGTTAAATAATTTCTTCGGTGGACCTGCCTTCCTGGCTTGGGCTCGCATGGGAAACCTACACGCGTGAGTGCTATAATCTGTCCCTTACTTCTAACTTCTCTTTCAGTGAAGGGCATTTCCAGCCACAACATATGCTGGCAAACTGAATATTGTAACAAATATTATCTGGTTCAGGTATCTTGTGAGGCCAGGGTATATAATTTGTAAAGATTATGTGAATTAAATGTCATGCAGAAAATGGACTTTGAGCTTTGGTATGGTGCTCAAAGTTAAAGGGTGTAGTACCTAAGAAATGAGAATACCTCAGATGTGTTGAGCAGGCCTATTTTAGGCTGCTCCACTACATCTAAGTGAGTTTTGCTTGTCTATAAGATCTATACAATTCTAAATTTTCTTGTCATCTGATTGATTCATGCAATCCTTGTCATACGAT